TCGGTTGTCTGTCCCCCAGGGAGGAGGTCACATATAGTTCCTTGTAATCGGTTCCCTCTTTCCAACCCACTCTCCCTCCACCCTCCCAGTATCGCCACTCACACCACTGGTCCCGCAGGGCTCATCCGCCCTGGATTCCCTGGGACACCGTGATGGTAACAGTAGGCTCAGACATACGAAGATGAGGTTGGCCCAGGATTTCGCTCTGTTGTACACAGGGTCGTGGTCGCTGTGAGTCGGATCCCACTTGATGGCACCGAACAACAATAAGTACCTGGGGCACTTTAAAGTCCTCTACATTCACAATTAAATCAGGATCTCTGAGAGTGGGACTCAGTATTGATATATTTTTTAAATTTCCAATTTGCAACCAAGTAGGAGAGCCACTGTTTTAACTCCCGTCCTACCCTCCGCCTCAAACAGCAAACCCTGTCTGCTGTTGAAGTTAGCCTTACCTGCATTTATGGTAAAAGGGTCGTTGTGTTTTGACCTCCTTTCCCCCCAGCTTTCACATATGTCATGCCGAAGGAAGGTGGGAGTTGTCCTTGGGTGATACATGCTCAGTTGTTAAGAGGTTAGCAGCTTGAGTCAGCCCAGAGGTGCCTTGGAAGTAAGGTCTGGCACCCTACTTCTGAAAAATTGAAAATCGTTTGGAATACAGTTCTAGCCTAGCACACACACGTATTATGAGTTAGAATCAACCTGATGGCAACAGACTTTGTTTTTTGGTGTGTGTGTGTGTGTGTGTGTGTGTACACGCACATGGTTTTGGTGGTGATGGTGGTGGTGGTGATTGGGGAAGGAGGATAGGAGAGAAAAATGTACTCCACTTAATTATGTTCCCCAAAGTTTCCCTCTTACTGAGAAGAAAGCTGATGGAGAGACAGCATAGAGGGAAGGATGGAAGCCAGGAGGAGAGAACTCCATGCTAATGAGCTGTATTAAACACTTCTCCACCACTCGTGAAGATCCCCAAGACTGAATGCACTGCCCTTTACTGCAGTCCCTCAGGGATGGAGGACCACTCCTCTCCCCAAGATGAGGAGTCCCCTCATGAAGGAGGGAGGAAAGAAGCCTTACACAACCCTGCCTAAGACATCAGAGAGGCAACACTGCGTCAGTGAAAGAACCCACATTTTACCTTATGTTTCACCATCTGGACTTGGCTATACTCCCCAAAGGCTCAAGAATTAACTTAATTATCTACTTATTTATTCTAAGTTTCCTTTTGAGGAAAATTGGCCAAGTTTGTGGGGATGATCAATTTGCAGAACTCTTGTGACATGAACAAAATGGAGTCAGTCCTGCGAGTGGCAGGGACTTGGATGAGTAAACGTACCTTACTTCTCTCCTTTGCTTTTCAGTTCATCAACTTGACAATGAACATCTGAAGCTGCGCTGATGGTGACACAGCCCTCCCGTGAAGTGCAGAACTTCTCTGGGTGCTTAGCCATCCTACCTAGAGCTCTTTTCCCCTCCCTTGTTCATCCTTCTCCACCTTTCCCATTGCCCACACCTTCATCTGCAAAGAATGAACCGGAATCACTAGGTCCTGTAATTTTGTACGACTTCTTGGTAATTACTTCTCTATTTTGGGTTATGCCGCCCTATGTCTTCCATCCAGATTCAGGCATCTTAACCAATATCTACCTCCCTCCCTCTACACGCTTCACCTCTGCCTATCAAACATTACTCAAAGTCCTACTGAAAAAACAAAAAACCTGGCTCTAAGGCAGCTGTGAACATTATACTCAAATATCCTTTAAAGAACAATGTTTTTGTAAAAGTGTATGTCAACAGAGATGAGAGGGGAAATTTGTTTCGGCATCACAAGTGTGATTCCTTATTGATGCAGACCCCAGAGAATTCTGGATGTTGACTGACAAGAGTGGAACACTATGATAATCTCTACTTCTTTCTCCAGGAGCTGGTAACTATTCCGTTCTCTGTCAAGTCTAGACACACTTTATGTCCAAAGCCTTTGGGTAATAAAAGTCTAACGTAATGTATGTAGTTCTTCTCAGGAAGTCTAAATCTTATCATATTTGATGTCATGTATCTCATTCATGACGGTGGTAAACACTGGAGAAGCCTTGCTAGGATTCCACTAACACTGAATAAGGAACGCCCTTTGAATTGGAATAATAGGACTTAGCATGAGAAGATATTGGCTCAGTGAGTGTGAGGTCCCATTTATATATTACATATAGATATATATCATATGAGGTTGAAGATTTGGCCAAGAGGGGTGCTCAGAAAAGAGAGACAGAAAGATGATTGGGATGAAGATCAAGTAAAGAGTGGAATCAGAACCCTATTTTCTGACCTGCAGCTAAAAATGCCAGGGTAAGATAGCCCCAGTCACCACCCAAATCTTCCCTGGGCTTACCCTGCAGCAGGCACGGCACAAGAGCACTCGTAGCAGGAGAGGTATCTGGTGGAGCACAGTGTACAACCACACACCATGAACTGTGCTGGGTTCACTGCTTCCTGCTGCTGCCGTATTGTTTATTAGGTGTTGTGAACATGAACCTTGCTCATTGGCAGAACTTGAAGGAAAGTGCTCACCATCTGACTCTCTCCTCGTGTCATTACTACGTAGTGTGTTTAGGCTTGTATGTCCATGAGCATATATATTTCTCTCCACTAATCTCCCAGCCCCCCACCCCCGACAGCTTGAAAGGAGTAGAATGGTGTTTATGAAATGGGCATCCTCTTGACTTTTCTACATGGCTGTGTGCCCCTGGGAAATGTATTCATCTCTCTTTGAGACTTAGTTTCCCCACCTCTAATATGAAGATGGTCATCCCTGCCTTGCATAGTGTTTGTAGCGGACAGATGAAATGGTGTGTAGGAAGCATCTGACATATGGTGAGTGCTCAACACACAACTTTCATCGGTCCCTTTTCACAGTCCCTAAAGAATGAATGGTTTCTTAAACTCAGATGTTTTATATTTGCCTGTTCTTTATTGCAAGAATAAAAGTATTATAGAGCCATCAATCTTGAACTCTGAAGGAGACGCTGCAGACTGTTTTGTGATAATGAAACCAGAACAATAACAACAAGTGTGTGTGTGTGTGTGTGTAGTTCCTATTTCTCGCTGAATTATATGGTCTGACACTAACACTCAGAAGCCAAGAAAGTTGTTTCTCATGCATAAAAAACCAAACTCCCTGCCTGCCGAGGAGTCAATCCTAACTCATTAGAACAGGGTAGAACTGCCCTGGGAGTTTCCCAGATGGTAACTCTTTCCGGGAGTAGAAAGCCCCATCTTTCTCCTGCAGTGACGAGTGGTTTCCAACTGCTGATCTTTCCATTAGTAGCCCAACCAGTAACCACTGCACTACAGGGCTCCTTCAGAGTTGGATAAAGAGCCAAATCTCAATGGGAGGAAGCATACGCCTTCCTAATCTTGAGATTCTAGGAACATATGAATAACCTGAAAATTACTCTTATGATAGTATTAAGTGGCTGATTCTTAAAACAAAAACCTCCTTTACTATGTACATTTTAATGAAGATGAAAGTATAAGATATGCTATTCCTCGGTGGGGTTCAGTTCAGTGAGGAGGCGAATAGGATTGGGCCGGGGAAAGGATCCTAGATTCAAACTTGTTCTATAGAGACCCTTTTATTAAGCCTTAAACAAGAGGAAGACAAAATCAAAAGGTAATCATCTCCATGAGGGAAACTTCTCAGCATCTACCCAAACGGACACTGGTGGAACCTAATTAACCACAGTCATAGTGTGGACTTCTCACCATCTACCCTATATGGACACTGGTGGAATCTAATTAACCACAGTCATGGTGTGGACTTCTCACCATCTACCCTATATGGACACTGGTGGAATCTAATTAACCACAGTCATGGTGTGGACTTCTCACCATCTACTCTATATGGACACTGGTGAAATCTAATTAACCACAGTCATAGTGTGAATCAGAGCTTACATTTCTGAGCACTGTTTTCAAAAGGTTATTATCTTTAGTAGAAACCCTAAATCCATTTGTGAGTTGCCATATAAATTCAGCCTCCATTGAATTCCTTCTGACCATTATCCAGCAGCATGAACAGCTCCGCTCTTAAGCTGAGTGCATTAACGAGTAGATCATTGTCACTCCTCTGTTCCATCCAGGAAGAAAGCCTGGGTGTGCCCTTAATGAGAATTAGGGGGCTAGAGTCCCAGGGCCATGAGCCACATTCTGACTGCTTAGGACAGATAAGCTCTTCTCTCTAAAATAATGTGCATGTCTCAATCCTGGTCCTGATTCCTCTTCTGCAGTCCACCTGTAACTATGATGTATTGATCTGCCACCGAGCATACTTTGTGAGTTTCCTTTGCCCTCCCACATCCTTTTTAAACCTCTGAATCTATGCACACCTTTGGATGCCGTTTCCAGCTTCGTGGCAATGACCTCCCTCATCCAGATGGTGTGTCTTTGTTTTCATCTTGCCTTCCCCGGCTTAAGACAAAAGTGTTCTCCTTAGATTATATTTGAGATTTGGCATCTCTTTTGTACCCCCAAACAGTGTTTGCTATATACTGTAAAGAACAGTGTTTATTATACACTGCAGAGAACAGTGTTTGTTATCTACGGTAGAAAACAATTATCACAGGACTATGATTGGTGACGAGGCAATCCACCGCTGTCTCAGGTGTGGCAACAGACATGGCAGTGTAATGGAAGTGGGGGAAGGACCATGATTGGAATTTTTGCATAACTTCAGGTTAAAAAGAACACAGGATTCGTTCTGGGGTTTTCATTACCCGGCCACATGATGGTCAGGATATGACTCAGGATTATGTGACCCTGAGTCAGAGTTACAAGATGATACCAGAGTCAAGGAGGAAGGAGCAACGGAAAGAATCAGTGCAGAAGGAAGTGAAGGGCAGAACAGATACATTTCCTTTATCACTCCTTTTCAAAATGGAAGGAATTTCCCACACTGAGAGGAGAAGGCAGTTAAGGGAGTGGACTACATATGGACCCAGCCCCCGAATGACTGAATTGACTTTTAGGTCTGGCCTGATGGCAAGGATACAGCATGAACTTGAGGGATAAATGTAATGTCTGTGAAGGGGAGATATGCTATTAAGAGTCAGTCAATAACAGGCCAGCCATCAGCAGTATAAAAACACTCATATTTCTGATGGAGAGACCTGAGAAGTCAGTCTGCTATTATTTCATGAGGGAAATACTATGTTGATAGGAGAATTATATGCTTTGTTAAGATGTAACTTAGCAAGAAATCCTCCGTAGCTGTGACCCTGAGCTAGGTCCCCTATCTTGTCTCACAGAGCATCCGGTGACAGTGTCCAGGCTTTCTCTCGCCTCTCAATAAGGGGAAGGACTTGCACACACAGCCTGTCTCCTGGAGATTTAAGATCCCTACGTCACTGAAGCGCTGTAACATAAGATCTTTGTTTTCCCAGCTTGTACCTGTCATTCCAAGATTTGCATCTGTCTGAAGAAATGGTTTCACTCAGCCAGTATATAAATCCTGTGAGAACAAAGGGAGGGGGGACTGGCATTTGGAAGAAGAACCCCCACCCCCATTATCCGTTCCCACGCATGTGAAAATAGAATCTTTTGAATCCACTTGGTTTCTGTCATCTGGCAACAGTGACTGGGCAGTGCAGGCCCTCTTAGTGCCCACCCTACAACATTTCCACCAGTGGCACACTTAGACTAGCTGAGATGCTCGTTTGCAGAATCTCTACTGATGTAACTCTTAAATTAACTTATTTGCTCCATTCAAACTTTCTCCTCTCTCTGAATATTTTCTTGTGAGCATGACAGGAACTCAGAGGGGAGGGCCCTGAAGGTTCCAGTCCCTCTGGTAATATTAACCTTTAGCCTAGAACCCGAATAGCACAAGCAGCTACGCGTTGGACTGCTAATGGCAAGGTTGGATGCTCAAACCCACCAGCTGCTCTGTGGGAGAACAATGAAGCTCCCATGAAGATGTACAACGCCTCAGAAATCATATGGGGTTATGGCAGTGGATAACCTTAACTTAAATAACATGCATCTGAATGGCTACTTTCAGTAAATCATGAGGGACACGCCCAGGTCCATTAGCTAGTTCTTTGTGTTGCATTAAAGCTTGAATTCTGAACACTGGATTTGTGGAAGGCAAACAATTGACAATGGGAGTCTAAACCAAATTGACTCCCACATTGAGCCTCTGCCAAGTAACAACAGGATCAGTGGAGAAAAGGTGGAAGTCGTCAAGGATTTTGTCTTGCTAGGATCCACAATCCCTTCTCACTGAAGCAGCAGTCAAGAAATCCAAAGGCATGGTGCATTAGGAAAAATCTGCTGCATGAGACCTCTTTAGAGTGTTGAAAAGCAAGGATGCTACTTTGAGGACTAAGGTGTGCCTGACCCAACCCATGGTATTTTCAGTTGCCTCATATACACGTGGAAGTCAAACATTGAAAAAGAAAGACCAAAGAAGAATTGATGCATTTGAATTATGTGCTGAAGAAGAATATTGAAAGTACCATGGACTGCTAAAAAGACAAACCAATTTGTCTGGGAGGAATATGGCCAGAGTGCTCTTTAGAGCAGCGGTCCTCAACCTGTGGGTCGCGACCCCTTTAGGGGTCAAATGACCCTTTCACAGGGCTCACCTAAGACCATCGGAAAACACATAAATATTTCACAATATCTAATTACATATTGTTTTGTGATTAATCACTATGCTTTAATTATGTTTAATTATGTTCAATTTGTAACAATGAAAATACATCCTGCATATCAGATATTTACATGACGATTCATAACCGTAGCAAAATTAGAGTGATGAAGTAGCAACAAAAATAATTTTATGGTTGGGGGGGGTCACCACCACATGAGGAACTGTATTAAAGGGTCGCGGCGTGAGGAAGGTGGAGAACCCCTGCCTTAGAGACAAGGATGGTGAGACTTCGTCTTACATACTTTGGACATTGCTGTCAGGAGAGACCAGTCCCTGCAGAAGGAAGTCAGGCTTGGTAAAGCAGGGCAACCGTGAAAAAGAAGTATCTTCCCAATCTTCCTTCCCACAGGGTTTCAAGGAGAGCCACAGGGAGACCGGAGGGGCCAGGGCTTAGAAAAGATCCGAGCATGTGAACAGATGGGGAGGGGGTGCCAAGATCAGTCAGTGCTCGTTTAATTCAGTGCACTGGGTCATTTGTGAAAACAAAATGCCCTTCTGCCAAGAGAAAAGACTGCCTGCCAAGCACCAGTGTGAGGACTGTTGGCGGCACCCAGCGGTGAATGAATAGAAGACTGTGTGGGTTACCAAGAGCCTGGAGCGCGTCCCAGGCCCAAACTGTATGCAGGGAGCCAAGGGGGCCTGGGAGTCTTTGGGCCCCTAGATGGCAGCAAGTGGTCCAGATATTTTCCCGAATGAGAAAACTTTTTTTTTATCCATGACTTTGCTGAGAGGAAAAGTAGCTCGCTTAGGAAGGAAATAGGACCATCACAGTTCAGCAGACCATGTAATGGCAATGACATTGGATTTAGAGCCTAGGAACCCAAATTGTAGCCTGGAACTGACCTCCAGCTAGCTGGGCAGCCTTATTACTCTCTCTCTGGGCTTGTGCTATACCGTGCTTTGTTTCCTTCTTGGACCCTGGAAACTTAAAGGCCAGGCAGTGTGGCATCACCCTTATCCAATGGGATGGGGAGACTGCAATGAGGTCAGAGAATTCCTGAGAATTCATTAGAATCTTTGACAGATCTCAGGGTCTGAGAAGAACCAGATTGCCCAAGCTCTCTCTGGGCCACAGCAGGCCCTGGCTTCTCTGCAATAGTTTACCCCGTTCTTTCTGCATTTCCACAAACTCTACTCTTCTACCTTAAAAATGAGTGGGACCCAACGCATGTGGGTTTTGCCTTTTCTCACAATTGATTCACAATTTCTAGATTCAAAAATGAATCATCAACCCAGATGGCTTCCCTCATGGTCTTTTGTCCACACACTTTGTCCCACTCCCTCCATCACCACTTTGCTGACACTTGCGGGTGAAGGGCCAGTTTCCTGGAAATAACCGATCCAAGGGACAGACGAGGAGTTCCCATCAGTCCTCCTCTTGGTGGGCGACTCCAGAGCACTGGGCACCACTGACCACTCCCTTCTTCATGGCACTTTATTTAATATAAAGTTTATTTCATTTCTTTAACTTTGAATGCTGTGGTATTTTGGTTTTCCTCCTGCCTTTTTGGCTGCTCTCTGAGGGTCATTTATGACCTTTTGCCTTTGTTCGAACTTAAATCTTGGTGCTCTTTTGCCTTCTGTTCTCGGCCTTCCGTTTCCCTGGTTATATAATTGTGGCAAATGTATTTGTATGTGTAAACAAAACATTAGTCATTTCCACATTCTACACATTCTTCAGTGACTTTAATTATGATCATGCTGTCCAACCATCATTATCCATTTCCAAAAATT